TTCAAAAAATAAAAAAGGGCTGGGGGCCTGGGGATTTAGCTCAGTAGTTTCCCCACTTGCTGCACAAGTGCAAGGACCCGAGTTTGATCCCCAGTACCAAAAAAAAAAGGGGGGGGTTGGGAATTTAATTCAGTGGTAGAGTGATTGCCTAGCGTGTATGAGGCACTGAGTTACATTCCCAACATTGCAAAGTAAAAAATTATTTAATATTACTTATTTATTTTTGCTTCTGTTTTTTTCTTTAATAAACATATGTGCCAAATGCTAGGTTAAATTTTTACATATATGTTACCTTATTTAATCATCAAACCAACTCTTTAAGGTAGATGGTATAGTTTTTGTTTGGTAGGTTTTGTTCTCAGTACTCAGAATTGAGTTCAGGGCCTTCATAGTGAGCTACATCCCCAGCCCTTTATTTTTAATTTTGAGACAAGGTCCTGAATTCACTAAGCTGCCCAGACAATTTGCAATCTTAGGTGGTTTTTTTTTTGTTTATTTTTTGTTTTTGTTTTTTGTGGTACTGGGGATTGAACTCAGGACCTTGTGCTTTCGTAGCAGGCATGGTGCCACTGAGCTAAATCCCTGCCCCACAACTTGCAATCTTGCAGCCTTCCTTCTTCAGCCTCCCAAAATGTTGGGATTACAGGCATGTACCACCATGCCCAGCTTCGTGTGTTTGTGTGCATTTGAGTATTCATGTGTGCAGTGTAGTCTTTTTTTTTTTTTTTGAGACAGGGTCTTCCTATGCATTATGAGCTGGCTTTGAACTTACTATGTAGTCCAGACTGGCCTCGAACTCGCCATGATGCTCCTGCCTCAGGCTCCTGAGTCCTGGGAGTACAGGTGTGCGTATGGGGTGTAGTCTTAAACCTTAAATTTTTGATTATGGAAGTGGAGGCTCAAGGAGAGACTTGTCCCAAGATTATAAAGTTATTAAAGGGTGGATCAGATCTTAAATTTAAGGTCCGTGCTCTTTACTCCAAGCTCCATTTCTTACTCCATCTGATATTTTCTGTGGTATATTTCATACAGAAAATAAATTATACCCACTCATAATATAGGAAATTGTACACTGAATGCGTCACTTTTTTTGAGGTTACTTTCAAATTTTCTTCCCTAACAACTGTCTGCATAATATCTAAATGAGAACCTTATAAATACTTGACAGTGTTTCATCGTGTTTTAAAAAATTGGCAAAAAATGGGGCCGGGGATTTAGCTCAGTGGTTCTGCCACCTACCTCGCAAGTGCAAGGCTCCAAGTTCGATCCTCGGTACCAAAAACAAAACAAAACAAAATTGTGAGCCAAAAAATTGGCAAAAAAAAAAAATTGGCAAATTGTTTTTGTGAAGTTCGAATTTATCGCACTTGCTCTATTAAAATGGCAGTGCCTTGTAATTTGTCTATATGTTAAGCTTTTTATTTATGCATGTCACTTATATCCTTGTTTTCTGTTTTAAATTTTAGGTTCTTGGGGGTTTTCTCTATCTGTGAGTATTTGTTAAAAACTTAAACCCTAAAGATAAAAGGCAGAAAATAGTGACCAAATGAATGGTTTTGGCACATACAGTGGTGAAGGCCTCCTTCAGGTAGGTAGAGAGGAGGAGGGATGAGGGTGGCCTTTTAAAGTCATAAAGATAGCTTTATGTGTTACTGTGGAGGTTGAACCCCCAACACCTTTTTATGGATATCTGCTAGATTGTTGGGACTAAAGTAGGTAGTTTATTTTATTAGGAGGCATTGCTGAGAATGTTAGAAATATCCTAAACAATTTTCAAAGCCAGATGTGAACAGTAGACATTAGATGTTACAGTGTGTTTTTAACTTAATACAATATAGAGATTTGATAAGTTGTATTTTAGGAGTAGTTTCTGCAGCTTCACATCAGAAGGCTATCTAGAATACAATACTATTGAAATACAGTGATACCTTGGTTCATGAACTTTTATTTGTTTACTATTTTGGGCAAGATGGCCCCGTTTGTGTTTGTGTGGGAAAGATGGCCGCAGTTGGGTTTGTCACCTAATGTAGAGTTTGCAAACAGCAGCCGAATTTTGCCAAATGCTTCTGTTTGTGAACTAGATTATTTGCATACAAAAGGGTTAGTGAACCCAGATACTATCTTTTCAGGTGATAGGTACTTGAACTTCATTATTACTTTTTTTTTTTACACTAGGGATCAAACTCACAAACATTCTACCATTAATAAGTTATATCCCCAGCCTTCATTTATTTATTTTTGAGACAGGGTTTCACTTTTTTTTTTTTTTTTTTTTTGAGGCAGGGTCTTGCTATGTAGTTGAGGCTGGCCTTGGACTCATTATGTAGCTCAAGCTGGCCTTAAATTCATGGCCATCTTCCTGCCTCAGCCTCCCAAGTGCTGGGGCTACAGGTGTGCACCACCATGCCTAGCTCTCTCACTTCGTGTAGTGCAGGCTGGCCTTGAACTCACTATGTAGCCCAGGCTGACCTCAAACTCTCGGTTATTCTCCTGCCTCTGCCTCCTAAGTGTTGGGATTACAGGTGTGCATCATCATGCCTGGCTTCCAGCCCTTTTTAAAATTTTTATTTTTATTTTGGTTTTTTGAGACAGGATATCACTCTGTAGCTCAGGCTGGCCTCAAACTCACAATGATCCTCTTGACTCAGCCTTCTGAATGCTGGGATTACAGATGTTATGTCACATGCCCAACTCCTTTTTTAGTTTTTATTTTGAGACAAAGTTTCACTAAGTTGCCCAGACTGGCCTCAATTTGTGATCCTTCTGCCTCAGTCTCCTGAGTAGCTGGGATTACACATATGCATCTTCATGCTGGGCTGATACTTGAATCCTTAAGGCTGTGGTTTTGAAAATATACTTCTCTCCACAACATTACTATTATGTGAAAATCAGGGACATGTTAGAAATACAAGATCTTGGCCTCCAGTTCAAACTTACTGAATTAGAAACTCTGAGGGGGGACCTGCATTATGTATTTTAACAAGCCAAATGATTCTGATGCATGCAAAAGTTAGACAACCACTTCAATGGGTATAGGTGGTAGAAATAGAAAGGAAGAGTTAGAAGCTAAAACATTGGCAGTAAAGGTCTGATAGAACAAAGAAATGGGTAGCATGATGGAAAGAATGCTTGCTTAACTGGGGATCATGAGCCTTGAGTCATAGCATCATCTTTGTTACCAATTTTAGTATATGTGCTGCCGAAGCGAGCACATCATCTTTGTTACCAATGATAGTTGGGTTTTTTTTGGTAGTACTAGGGATAGAACCCAGGGTTTTAGCACTGAACTATAATCCCTAGCTCTTTTAAATTTTTATTTTGATATAGGGTCTCACCAAGTTGCCTAAATAGGACTAGAATTTGTAATTCTACTGCCTTAGCCTCCAGAGTGCTGGAATTACACTCATGTACCACCTGCCTTCAGCTGTGGTTTTAGACGAGAACTGACTTTGGAGACAAAAATAAATAAAGAATTAAGGTATACTTGAGATTAAATCTGGGTTACGAGGAAGACTAGAATTTTTGAGAAAGGGAAGAGAGAATTTGAGATGTTAAACAGTTGGAGATGTTACAGATTTATTTATTTATGAAAATTTATTTACTTATTTTTTGTTTTTTTAAGACAGGCTCTCACTCTGTGGTCTAGGCTGGCCTTGAACTCACTGTATAGCTCAGGCTGGCCTTGGACTCACAGCAATTCTCCTGCATCAGCTTTCCCAGTGCTGTGATTGTAGGTGTGCACCACCACACCCAGCCAGCAGATTCAGTTGAAACAAGGATTCTCAACTGAGGGTGACTTTGCCCCACAGGAAATATTTGGTAGTATCTGGAGCCCTTTTTGATTATTAGACTTGGGAGAGTACTCTATTAGTATTTTGTGGGTTGGCTAAGGACGCTGCTAAAAATGTCCTATAATGTACACAACAGTTAGTGGTTCAAAATGTTAATAGTGTGAGATTGACAGATGTGATAAGGGAAATATCTGTTAGGTAGGTTTGATCAATATTTTCTTCCTGATTATCTCCTGCTCAGTTAGTGTTCTAACACAAAACATCTCAAAAGCAGTCTCAGATTTGTTTTTCAGGGCTTTGCCCAAAAATAAGCAAGAAATGTTGAATTTTCACAAAACTAACTTTATAGTCATTGCAGTCTTCAACCCAGTTCCATATTTCTTCCTTATTACTCCTATTTTTTTATATATATATATATATATTTGGGGGTGTGGCTTGGATTGAGTTGTTCCTTTCAACATAACTGTGCTGGATGTGGTGGTATATACCTGTAACCCCATCAGGAGCCTGTAGCAGAAGAACGGAGAGTATGAGACCAGCCTGCACCACATAGCAAGACTGTCTCAAAAAGTCAAAAAAACATATCCTAAGATCTAAGGTAACTTAAAAAAGCATTCACTGTCAAGAACATTTGTTAAGTTATAGCAAGAGATCCCATTCTGACATTCTCTTTGATATATAGGAAAATGGGGAGATAAAACCTGTGGTATTGATGTGCGTATATATTGCCCTATAGCCAAATATCCCATGATCATTCCTGAGAAAGTACCTCATGAACTGGTTATGGTCCTCACTGTGAATTCAGAGTAACCTCCAGACTTTTATCTCTTTATATCCCTGGATCAGGGAGATTAGGAACTTTTTTGTTAGGGCAGTAATTTGGTTAGCATACTCTTTTTTTTTTTTTTTTTTTTTTTTTTGGTACCAGGGATCAAACTCAAGACCTTACACTTGCGAGGCAGGTGGGGTGCCACTGAGCTAAATCCTCAGCCCTGGTTAGCATACTCTTGTTTCTGACAGTGACTTGAAGAGAATGTATATTCGTAATGTAATTATTTTATCAAACTTACAGAGATTTCAAAGTATTAACCTATTGTGTCTTTTCATCATCTTAGTCTTTTAATTCTTACAATTCTTGGAGTTATCAGAACTTGGGGGAAGAGCTACTAAATTGCAGAATCCTAGAAGTTGCTATTCATATATCTTTAGGTAAAAGATGCCCTTGTAGTTCTACAGTATACTGCCTGTGTGGTTATACATGGTGACCCTTGTTGGAGGGAAAGAAGATATGAAGGAAAGTCACTTTGTGCATTTCAACTAGGACGGGTAATAATTTATGCATTTAATTTATTTTTTTACTTTTTTTGTCTGTTTTTGAGATAGGGTCTCTCTATGTAGTTCAGGCTGGCCTTGAACTCAATATGCAGCCCAGGCTGGTCTCGAACTTGTGATCCTCTTGCCTCAGTCTCCAAGTACTAGGATTACAGGTATGTGTCACCATGCCCAGGCCTCTTTTCCTTTTTTTGAGACAGTCTTGCTAAGTCACTAATTTGCCTAGGCTGGGTTTGAACTTTCTGTCCTCCTGCCTCAGCCTCCTGTGTGCTGGGATTACAGGTGTGCGCCACCAGGCCTGGCTACATCTAGGTTTTTGTAAGTATACTCTGTGTTGTTTTCAATGTGATGAAATCACCCAAGGACACATTTCTCAGAATATATTCTTGTTAAATGATGTATAACTGTATTGGCTAATTTATTTCTCAACAACCTTTAAGGTAGGTTCTATGATTCCCACTTCACAGACTTGGAGCAAGAGACATAGCGTAGTTAAGTGACTTGCCCCAGGTTACCTGGCTAAGAAGGCACATAGCCAGGATTCAGAATAGACTGCCTGGTTCCAGAATGGTACTAAGTAAGCTATACTGCCTCTTCAACCTTATTTTAGCACAGTTTATAAATGTTTTGCTGATGAAGTTAGAGTGATTCCCAAGTCATATTTCCTCATTCAGGAGATTCATTTACTTTAACATGTTTGTTGAATGCTTCATGCTGGGCCAGGCACTTTTTTAATTTAACTTTTTAATTATTATTATTTTAGAATTTCTAAATATTGTGATTTCAGATAATACTGAATATTTTGAAGAAATTATGAGGGTGATGAGATACTTGTAGGCTGGGAACCCCTCCTTGAGATTGGTAATCTATGAAAGGTGTCCTGAGAAGATTGCATTTTGTACTGCGACTTCAATGTATTGTTCTTGATGTTTAAGTGTTCAGGGAACCAGATTTGGGTTAAGAGAGCTCAGCTCAAGGTATAGGGACCAGCTAATACAAAGACCTAAGGTGTAAGAATGAGAAAATATTACTAAGCATTGTATTATATATTAGACATCATGCAAGGCTCTTGGGATAGCCAGTGATGGCAAACCTTTTAGAGCTTTCAGTGATAACAAACAGCCTGCTACACCATGTGTGCCATAGGTTCGCCACCACTAGGATTAATGAGCAAGACAGGCATGGTCCTTTCATCTTAGAGCTTCCAGTTTGGTGGGAAAGTCAGACACTAAACAAACACTAATCATAGTAATTGTGGTTATGCAGAGGGCTACAAAGATGAATACAGGATGCAATGAGAGTATAATGTGGTGAACTAATCTAGAATTGAGTAGTGGGTTGAGGCATCAGAGATCACTTTCAGGAAGGGAGCTTTTAAAACTGAGGTAATACTGTTAATAGGTAACCAGCAAAGCCAGACGTTTTAGCTCATGCATGTAATCCTAGCACTCAGGTGGCTGAGGCAGGAGGATCACTTTGAGTTTGAGGCCAGCCTTGGCTACATAGTGAGTTCAAGGCCAGACTGAACTGCATAGTGAGACTGTCTCAAAAAAACCAGAAAAACAAAAAGGTAACCAGAAAAGGAGTGATTAGCATATGCAGAAACTCCAAGATTGGAAAGAATTTGACACGTTTGAGAGACCTGTCCAGCAGCCAAACAAAAAAAGACAGTGCAACTATAGAGTCATAAGTAGAGGGAGAAGGATCTTGACAAGATAGTTAGGGGTCAGATCAAATAGGGCATTATCCTTAAAGTAGTGGGAAGACAGAAATTTGAAGGAGTAGTATATGTTTGGACTAATGCCAGTGGCTGAGTTGTAGAGATAGAATTAGAGTGAGTACAGGAATAGATTTGGGAAGACCAGTTAGGAGGCCACTGCAGTGGTTCTGGTAAGATATGATGGTGGTATATGGATGAGAGAGGTGACTGTAAAATTAGAGAGGAAATAGTTTGAGAAATATTTATAAAACAGACTCATAGGACTTTGGTTAATTGGATGTGTTGAGGTTGCATGTGAAAGAGGTACGTAGAAGCATGACTCAAGTTTTCCTCCTGTGTGGCTTATTATACAATTATTTTATTGGGGTAGAGGACACTGAAGGAAGAGCCAGTTTGGAGATTGAGCAGAGAAGTGTACATTCACTTTGGAGTAAGTTTGGACAGGTTGAATGTAAGTGTTGGTGAAACATCACAGTAAACTGTTTGTTTTGGTACCGGGGATTGAACTCAGGTCCTTGCACTTGCGCAGCAGGTGGCGAAACCACTGAGCTAAATCCCCGGCCCCTCACAGTACAACTGTTGAGTAGGTAATTGGATGTGTTCTGGGCCTCAGGAAAGGCTTATGGGCATATGGTTGAATCCTCTTATATGTTTGGTAATTGAAGTAGGGTAGACATGGAATGCCCTTTAGAGCAAGTGAGAGGGAGGAGCTGGAGAAGAGAGTGGTGTCATGAAGCCAACAGACTATGTGACTTGCTGTGTATCAGGCACTGTTCTAAGCATTTGTACATTTTTAGTCAGTGTTTGTAATCTTATGAAATAGGTGCTTTAAAAAAAATAGGTGCTTTTCTTTTTATTTTATAGATGACAAAAATGACACAAGAGGGCACTGTATAACTTATATCACTAGAGACTAACTGGAGGAGTTCATTTTTGAGCTTGCTCTGTTTTCCTAGTATGGAGATTCACTGTTGTGAATTTCTCTCATAGAACTGCTTTCATTGTGTCCCATAAATTCCTGTATGTTGTATTACCATTATCATTCAATTGTAGAAACTGTCTAATTTCTTCTTTAATTTCCTCTGTGACCCATTGGTTTTTCAGGAGAGTTATTCACTCTTCGTGTGTTTGTGGTGTTCTTGTGATTTCTTATGCTATTGATCTCCAGTTTAACTGCATTATAGTCTGCTAATATACAGGGGATAAGTTCAATTCCTTTGCATTTAGTTAAACATGTTCTATGAACTAGCATGTGGTCTATTTTGGAGAATGACCCATGTGCAGCCGAAAAGAATGCATATTCTGATTTTGTGGAGTGGAACACTCTGTAGACATCTATTAAGACCATTTGTTGAAAAGCTTGGTTCAATTCTAGTATTTCGTTGTTGATTTTTTTGTCTAGATGATCTATTTGTGACAGTGGGCTACTGAGGTCCCCCACTACAATTGTATTACTGCTTATTTGGTTTTTCATGTCCATTAATATTTGTTTTGTATAGTTGAGGGCATTAATATTTGTTGCATATATATTTATGATTGTCATCTCTTCCAGAAGTTTGTTTTTGAACCTGGGCTGTCTTTGTTTGTTTGTTTTGGTTTTGTGTTTTGTTTTTCCGATTTTTAAATTTAGAGACAAGATCTTTCTAAGTCCCTAAGTTACCCAGGCTGGACTTGAACTTTCATCTACGCCGTCATTGTCCCCCCCCCCTTTTTTTTTTCTTAATGTATCTTCTTGATAAGCTCCTAATTATCCTCCAAGTCCCTGGGATGTTATCCTTCTTTTGCGCACTTCTTAGTCACATTCTTCAGGCACTTAGGACCAGTAGCTTTTAATTTTTTTTTTTCCAGTACCAGGAATTGAACTCAGGACTTTGTGCTTGCCAGGCAGGCATGGTGCCACTGAACTACATCCCTGGCCCAGGACCAGTAGCTTTGTGTTACAATTATTTGATTATTTTTACCCATCATTAGGAGGCCAATCAACCTTCGGACCGACTGACCTATCTACTTTTCTTCCTTCCTCCCTCCTTCTCTCTCCTCCCTTTCCCACTCCCCTCCCTGCTCTCTGTTTTCCTCTCCATCCCTGGGATTGAACCCAGGGCCTTTGCACTGAACTACATCACCAGCCCTTTTTTATTATTTTAAAATTTTGAAACAAGGTCTCATTAGGTTGCTAAGTTGCCCAGACGGGGCTCAATTTGAGATCCTCCTTGTCTCAGTTTCCTAGAGTTAGGATTACAGGTGTGCACCACCATGCCTAGTTTATGAGTAGATTTCTTTAAGGCAAGAGCTTTTTTTTGTATTAGGGATTGAACCTAGGGCTAAGCCACATTCCCCAGCCCTGCTCCTCCACATCTTTTAAATTTTGAAATAGGGCTTTACTAAACTGCCCAGCCTGAGCTTGAATTTAGGATCCTCTTGCCTCAGCCTCCCATGTACTACTGTCATGCCCAGCTTCTGAAGTTGTTGATGTTGCTTGCCCAAAGCAAAATTTTGTGTATTATACATTTATATCTATTTGTGTGTCAGTCTATCTGTATCTAGGGTATCTCCAAGATGAGTGCTTAAGGGAAGGAAAAGGAAAAAGGAAAAGTACTGACCTTTGTTAGGCAGGTTGAAACTTATCAAAAAATAAAGGTTGCTTTTGGACTAGCAGATACATAGTATATGTACTTATTTGCCTTCTAACCAAAAATGTTTCTTAGCAGTAAAATTTGCCTCAACCTGGGACATACATTGAAAAGTGTATATGATTATTGGTGTTCATATATTTTCTGTAGAGGTAGTTGCACATTTCTTTGATGGAAAGCATAACAGTCAACATATATAACAAATGGATATTTGGCATATTTATTGGCATTGTGTTAAATGCTTTATATGTGCACTTCCACCATTGTTGTCTTGACTTAACAACTGGACTTCATACTTTGCGTTTAAGTTTATTCTTCTTTAAATAAAAAGGACCTTTTGGAAATACAGTTGCTAAAAACTTTTAAGATGTAGTGATGGTGCCTGGCGGAATACTTCCAGGATTTAATGAACAGTAGGATGTTTGCTCCATGTATGATCCATTTCAGACTTTGTAAATTGAACAAGCCATTTTCTTTAGTCTTTTCTTACATGAAAGTGCTGCTTCCTTCCTGCCCCTTTAATTATTGTAATTGACATTCTCCAGACCTTTTCTAGTTATTAACTAGAAGAATTGTTACAGGTTTAGAAGTTTAGTTCTTTCTGTTTTTGTGCTCACTCATTTATTCATCAAACACTGTCAGTA